TGGACTAAAAACCTGCCCGGCCAAGGAAGCAGCTGGGGTGCCCACTGTGCTGCTCATCTAGAGCAGGCTTGCTTGTGTGAAACTCAGTGTGGTCTCAGACTGCCTGCCACTCTGGCCCTCCTACACCAACATCTTTCCCTCTTACAGAACTTTTGGAAATGGAAAACAAAGGTTCAGGCTGTCTGGAATCCACACATGGCAGCACAGCAGGATGACAGCAGAATGATATCTATAAATATCAAAAAAGTAATGGCATCATTTAGCTTTCAGGGGAAGACTTATTTATCTCTGAAAAGATTCAGAGATAAATAAGGGTTTCCATGCAGAGCAGAGCAATGGAGTAGATATAAAGCCTTGACAGGAAATTTTTTATACACAAAATAAGATTGTAAATTTCTGGTGTAAAGCTATGGATTCCATCCATGAGACAGTAAACTGGATGGTTCTGGTTTACATTCACTAGAGATTTTCCCTTTACAGCCATTTGGAATTGTGATGCTGGTAAAAGAAAGTAAGGGAGAGTGGCACGCCCCATCCCCAAAAGGACCAGCTGGTGTCTGGAGGCACGGCAGGAGACCCCAGACTGGAAAAGAGCCTGGCTTGCCATCCCAGGAGCTGCACCCATGACCAAGCACAGCACCTGGGAGAAGGGAGTGATGGCTCTGTGCAGCCTGGCTGTGCTGTGAGAGCTGCTTTGGGCACTGCTGGTAGTTTTGAATGGCAAAATAAAGAGCAGGATCAAGAAAAAGCCTAAATTCACTGAGCCTGAGGCTGGAGTTGGCATCCTGGTGTCTGCAGGCATGCCAGGCATGCAGAGGGTCATCAGCTCTGAGCTAGAGAATGGTCTGGGCTATGATTAACTAGCAGAGCAGATGCACCCTTGTCCCTGGAACAGTGATGGCAGATATTCCATGGAAATGCATAAAGCTGGTAAATAACCTTCAGGAGACAGAGCTTGATTCTCATCCCACTTTCTGTACTCTGTTAGCAGTAGGACACACCTCCTGGAGGCCCAGTGACTCAGAAAGTGTCCCAAAACTGTGAAGAATCTGTCCCCACCCTGTACCAACAGAAAGGTACTGAATGTATGACAGCAACCACTGGGTTTCTCAGACAGAGAGGGAAACCCTGTCATGAGAATATAAGAGGAATGTCAGGCCAGCTGTCCTTGTAAAAATTAAGCAGACAACAGATTGAACAGTGTCTACTGGAAATCCCCAGAAGTTGACTCCAAGAAGTTCATTGCAAGCATCGCCTGTCCCCTTCTGTAATACCACTTCAATTTGCATTAAGTAGCATCTCATGTCACTGAGGTCAATGAAGCAATCCCTGTGTTTGGGACCAAAACAAAACAAAACAAAACAAACCACAAATAAAACAAACAAACAAAAGCACCCTCAGCCCCCAAAGAAACCAGCCAAACCTCAAAACAAAACAACAACCAAAATACCCCAAACAAATCAAAACCCTAAACAAAACAAAGCAGAAAAGGAAAGGGAAAAGAAAAGAACAATCCCAAACAGTGATTCTCCATGGGGCAACAAAAGGGATGCGAGAAACATCATTAGTTTTTGGATGCAGGTTGAGTTAAATAAAGCTCTAAGTGTTTGTGCTGAGGCATGCTGGCATTGAGGGCTCTACATCAGGAGAGCAGATGTGCTCCAGCTGAGACAGTCTGGAGTCAGGGCAGGGGGATTCTCTGTGATTCCCTCCTTGGGTAGGTAGAAGAGACAGTGAGACAAAGGCAGAGAGAAGAAGGGATCCTGCAGGGGTTAGCTAATCATATAAAGAAAGGACATGCTCTGGTCTTCTTCCCAGGATGTGTCCAGTGCTGTCACTTAAGAAAAACCTGGAATGCAAGTCCAGATGATACCTAAGGACATTTACAGTTGTTGTAAGGACACTCACTGGTCTACTTTGACTCAGAGCTGAACATATACACGAGGAGCTAATAAAACACATTCGCTGTCCTGAAGAAGTTTTGGTCCAAATGCACATGTCAGGGCAAGGATGGGAAGAGAAATGAAGGTCAGACAAGCCTTGTGCCCACCCAGGCCTTGGAAGGGGTACACTTAGGGAAGAAGGGATTCCTGTTGCTCTCAGGCTGGTGCACAGTTACAGCCTGTACCACTTTGATGGAAAAACTCTATTGGAGAAGTAATGTCTGGCCTCTGAACTCCTTGGAACCAGATGATGAGTCTGGAGTCATCATGGAGTTTTGTCCAGGTAATTTTAGTTTTGTGTTTAGTGGGAAAAAAATGGGTGTAGGTAAACTTGTTAACGGAGTATTTCTATCAAATTAAAATTATACATCTATAGACCACCATGGTCACCCATTGCTGCTGCACCCAAGCAAAAGAAGTGACTTGAGGCTTACAAGGTCCCTTCAACTTAGTGATGGTTTAGCAGCCCTGATTTACACTGTGGAAACTGAAGGACCAGAGGAAAAGTCAGACTTTGTAAAAGCCATTTTAAGGAAAGCAGGTTCCATATCAATTAATTTTGCACTCTGGGTTAGCTCCCCAGGCCCTTGGTGGTCCCACATCTCTTCTCCAGTGCAGAGTAAAAGAGAGATTTTCCCTCTTGTCCTGTGCTGCTGTTAAGCTCAGCAGAGATTAGGGACCTGGTAATGCAGGTGCAAGCCAGAGCAGTCCCAGGCGAGTGCCTTGGGTTTGGCAGTGCTGAGATTTGCTCAGTTGTGCAAATGGGTTCCCAGGACACAGCAGGCTTCCCACTCCTTATTCAGGCATGGCTTGTCCTGGGCTGACCTGGATGCAGCAAGTGAGAAAAATAGCGGACGGAGCCTTGCTAAATCCTGGGCTCTCTTTGAACTGCCAGCCCAGCCTCCTCTGTACCAGCATGTTCCATTGAGAGGATGTGGACAAATATATCTGTGCTGAGGAGTGGCAGAGGCTGCAGTCTGCATTTAGAAATGCTGAGCAGTGTGTTTTTCTAAGCTGGCTAATTAGTATGGGCCTGAAACTAACGGCTGTGTTTAACTGACAAGGCAATATGCCCTTCACCCATCCCTTGAGATGTCAGGAGAATTATTCCTTTCAAAAAGCGTGCCTGTTAACTCGTTCCTCTCTATCCCCTTTGATCTTTTCAATATAAGCCTCTCCCTCTGCACTTCATTTCTCCCTGTGGAGGAGACCATGAAAGCAAACCGTGCTGATTTGCAAATGGCTCTTCCTCCCTTGCCTGCTGGCCTGCATGGCTGTGTGTCCTGTGCCAGGGACCCTGGTCTCATGTCAGGAGCTGGGGAAAAGACAGCACTGCCATCATCACAAAGTGTCACGGCTGGTACAATCCCAAAAAGATGCTGTTAGAGGAACTGAACTGCTGCAGATGCCTCTGTCCTTCTCCAGCGCAGTGAGGAGATCAGGAAGACACAATGATTCAGCAGGCACAAATTTCCTCCCAGGTTATTCCGCTGGGCTCTGGATAAAACTAAAAATCAATTACCTGGCCTTTAAATGGGAAGGAGGATAGAGTTTTCCGAGTAACCTCCTTATGATCCAAGTACTGTGCAATCCTAAAGCAATATACACCCATATATCCAGATACTTGTGATTTTTCCCCACACCAAGATCCTTGTTATTACTTGATGAAACCAGAGTCTAAAGTGGGAAATAAACAAAAGGAAATAGTGGGAAAGAATCAAAAGGAATATAGAAATAAACGGACACTGATGTTTAGGGCCAAATTTTGACCTCAGTTTGAAGGGCTCTGTATAACAGTAGGAAATGTATGTGGATATCTGCAGTTGCATACATTCTTGGGTATATCCAAGAATTGAGAAGTTAATTGCCACACTGGCAAATGCTGCACTTCTCAGTGTTGGTACGAGTAGTGAACATGGACTTGCACAGGAGTCAGAGGAAGTTTTCAGTGTTTAGGTTGCCCTTGAGATACAAGAGGCATAATTTTGCAAGATAAATGTTTATCTTTTGCATTTCCAGAAATATGCTTGAAGAGACTCTCTTCCCTCCCACAAGGGTTTGTTTGGCACTTGAAGAGACTCACTTGCTTTGCATTTCCAAATACAGATGCCTCTAGTTTGGCTTGCATATCCAGGCAATGGGCTAACAGTATCTGTATTCCAGAAATGCTGAGCACTTCTCCACATTATTTACAGTTACTGCAGGATGCAGATCTTTAGGTCTTCACAAGGTCAAGTCACCCGGACTTAAAACACTGCAGCATGGAATTACAGTCCTATTTTGAGCCACCAACATTTTTGTTAATTCTGTTTCAAGCCAGCAATTGTCTGCAGTATCATACCAAATTAAAAAAAAAAAAAAAAAAAAAAAGAAAGAAAAAAAGAAAAAAAAAGAGGCAGAAAAATGTAAGGGAGTTAAAGAGGTTTGGCTGTGATTAACATTACTAAGCATTGTGCAGCAAAAGGAGATGGCTTCAGGGACAAGTGACCCTTGTGACAGACTTCCCAAGTCACAGGATGTCAATGTTTTTTGAAGGCACCTACTATGTATTGCAAAGGACTGATGTGAAAAAGTGCATGCTGTCCCTAGACTAAATAAGAGTCCCTCTGTTTCCAACCTAGAAAAGACAGAAAGAAAGACTGAAAGGAAGGGAGAGAGAGAAAAAGCATGTCACAGATGAAAGCACGTCCTCAAAAGTCAGGGCAAAGTGTCCTTACTTCAGCAAATGCTCTGGCGTAACTTCATAATGAAATAATCCTGCTATCTGATACTGCCTGAGAAATAAACAGTGTTTTTATAAAGTTCTTGCCCATTTCACAGCACTTCCCTGTGACACTGTAATAAAGTAGGTTGCAGCAAGTATCCTGCATGCCATGCCTCCAAATGTACCAGTTAATTACTGAGCCCTTTAAACTACTAACAAGACAAGCCTTGTTCTTTCAACCTATTGCTTTTTGCCAAAAAAGAAAAAAAAAAGAAAAAAAGGAAAAAAAAAAAAGTCATTGGGCAAATAAATCTTTCCAGAGAAAACAGATTTGTTTCCAAATCAGTCAACTGTGCTGAACTGGAAAGGAAGAAATGTTATTTTTTCCAGGATGAAAGCAAAACAAGATCTCTCCCTGTTTATCCTGTCTCACCCTTTTCTAAAGAAGGTCAGTTTAATTTCTTCATTACTTTTTCCTGCTGTCTTATTTATCTTGAAGTCTTCTAGTCTTTTTCAATTCCACTGTCAAAGCCCAGCCTAGTTGGTCCAACACAGGAGTGCACTGTGCTTTGCTCTTCACAGCCATGTGAAGATCCTGAATAGAGCTGGGTGAACTGTAATCACCCAGACATTCTCCTTTCTTACTTGCTTTCTCCATGCTCCTGAAAAAAAACATAAATCTCAAGCATTTATTGTTGACTTAGTTTCCTTTTAGCATCTTATTCATTACAGATGCTCCAAAGCCTGTGAAAACAATCACAAATTCAGTCTGCCCCAGCCCTATGTGTTGTGCTATGATGAAACACAAATCTTTGTACCATAAGCATCTTCTAATACTGGTGCCTGGGACTGAGTTTGGAAGGAAGGAATGTCAGTACAAATACAAAACAATATATTAAGCCTGAGAAAAGAGCTTTGCTGCCCTTAAAACCAGTAGCGTTTGATCTTTAACTCAGAAGGAGCCTAGGGCAACTCTTGGGGAGGGGGGGAGACTACATTTCAGCTCCAGTCAGCAGAGGCCATCATATTTGCCTGTGCCAGCCCAGCTAGAACACAAGTGGTGTTTTGCATGCCACAGAGTTAAATGCAGAACTGATGTACATATCTTTAAATAGCCATGGTCTGTAAGAGAGAGTCATTAGATCAGTTTGATCTCCTAGATGACACCTTAAGGAAAGAAAAATGCATCCTGCTGAATTCTCCTCTAAGTGTTCTCATTGTGCTGGGTTGGTTACACCAGTTTAACCTCTTCTGCAGTCACGTACACTCCCCTGGCTTTGGAGCATCAGCAGAACAGCCTGAAGGGAGGTATATGCCACCTGCCTTATGCAGGTCTGGGAGTGAAAGGCTCTGACACAGGATCAAGTGCCCAAGCCTTATCTGCAGCCCCTTCTGCCTTGTGTTACCTCACTGCTGCCTCGGGCGCTGCACATGCAGACTGCACACCAGGAGCAGGGCTTGGGAAGGGATGACTCAGGCACCGTACCCTCACCAGGTGCCTGTGCCCCAAATGTGTCTGGGCAAGTCCAGAGGCAAACCAGGTTCATGCAGTGCACACACTGGAGAAGCTGGGAGAGCCACCACAGCTAAAGAGCTAAAGGTTCTTGATGAAGCCCTCCAGTGATATCTTGAACCCATAGGTGAATTCAGTTCTCAGCTTGATCTCTACACAGCTCTGGTCACAGTCCTGTGGTACTATGAAATGTGCTACTTTTAAAACCAGAAAACTGCAGGATGTGATATATGTCAATGTCTGTAGGATCCCGTGGCTTTGCTAGCAAAATGAGCAGCAATTTCACATCTTGTTTTTGCAGCTCTAGTTCAAGTGCCAACATTAGGTCCCGCAGTCCTTTCAAAACAAACCAGTGCTCCTTCAAGGCACTCTTTGGTCTCTAGTCAGATTCTATCTACTGTCCCAGAGCTGCTACTGGATTTAATTTACCACGTTGTTCTTCATTTGCCCAGACACTAGAAGATCAGTTATGAATTTTGCTCTTTCCCAATTTTTGGTGGCCCAGAATGCAGACCTTCCTACACCCACTGTTTGATCAGAAATGCTTTCCATCTTTCAGTGTTTGTTCCTTTTAAAGGTGATGCGGGGCTTTCTGAAGTTACCTGAGTACTCCTGCTGGAGTGAGAACTTTTCAGGATGTAGTCAACTGCTTATTTCCAAGGGAAATGTCATCCCAGGAAGCACAAGTACTCTTTCTTGAAGTCTGCATTTCCCAAGGTGCAACACCTCTGTCAGAGAGAAGTTTCTACACACAGGTTTCTCTGGCACACAGGTTTCTACTAAAATTAATTGTCTTGGTGGTACTTTCTCTAAACTGGATTCTGAGATGAGAACTGATCCCATAATACCAAAGGCATTTGGAAAATACCACCAGGCACCCACTGCTGGGATGTACAGACTGTTGTTAAATGTCAACTGACCCATTCTGCTGACTATCATGGGAATGTATCCACACTCCATCATCAGTGTTTTCAGTTCTCTGGCTCCCTGAGACCTCTGGGGTTTGTCATTTTGAATTATTGTTAATATAAAAGAAACTATTTCCACAAAAGCAAATGGAGTGGCTGTGAAAATTGTCACACTCCCATTGAAGTCAACAGGAGTTACCTGAGTGGGAGCAGATGGAACCTGCTTTTTCTTTATAACCAGTGTTTATTCATTCCCTCTAGGTGCCCCTAAAAGCTTTACACTGCCAATCTTTCTCTAGATAGATGTAACCCAGCCTGCATGAAAGCAGCATTTGCCAGCTGGGCTTCCAAGAAATTACAGTGCACAAATAATTACTCTAGAGGAGAACAGCCTTGGCAGCAACTACCTAAGTACTGGAGAAATGCAAGTAGTCAAAGGGCAAGGCTTTGGAGAGCACTGCCGCAAACTATCTGGTGGAGCGTGTTAGAGAGACATTCAGCAAATGTGACTGAGGCCTCTGATTCCCTGCCAGCTGCCAGGTTTGGAATTACAGCCATAGCAATTAGCCACGATTACTTCCCGATGTTGTTAAGTACAGTGCAAAGATCACCAGTTGTAGTAGTTTCTTTTTGTGATATTTAAGTGCAGTGCCAGAGAGGAGTATCAGATCTCAGGTCTGAAGACCAGGGATGCGTTGGCAGGTGTGCCCAGGGAAGAGACAGGAGGATCAATATTTACTGTTTATGCTTAGCAGGTCCCCCTCTAGACATGCACTGGCCATATCTGTTAAAACATTATTGAATGGCTAAATAAAGATAATAACCCTAAGTAGTGCTGAAGAGGTTACAAAGTCATCCCGTGACTGTAGTAGTCCAGCCAGTTGCCCCGTAGTTTGACCATAACCTATTCCCTTATCAAAAGCATGAAGAAAAGATCTATTTTGTTGCACAACTAAAAGCAGTAAATGTTAATAAATTATTGGGCTTTGCTTAGAACTTCTGTCCACCTTTGGAATGGCACTGGTTAAGACTGCTAAGATCTCACAGACAAAATTGATGAGCAAGTGTCAAAACTATATGATCTGTATATGATCTGTATGAGCACCCTTCATATCAGGTTATCAAAAACATGTTTCTATCTGAGGTCCTTTGGGGATCATACCGAAAACTAGGAGAGAGCACCTCTCTAGGCAGCTTGGGATACTGGTTGTTAATTGCCACATCAGTAGTAACCTATGCAACATTGTTATTTGAAGCAGAGGTAAACAAAATATTCTAAGCTCTCTGCACCTTAATTTTGTGTTTCAGGTTTACAATTTCAGTGAGTATAGGATGAGGGCTATTTACTCTGCTGTGTAAAACCATCATAAACAGTCTTTTTCCTCTTCATTTAAATACTCCCATATTCCTACCTCATATCCTCAAGGCTTTTCTGAAGACTGAGAAGTAAAGATAGTGAAGATAAGCTCTGTGTGGAAAGATGAATCAGTTCAGCAGACCATGTTGGAAGACTTGCTTATCCCTGTTGACATCAAAACCTGTTGAAATGTCAAAGTATTCGCCCAGAGACGCCGTGACTCCAGTCATGCCTTGTTGGCAAAGTGTGAAGTTGAGGTGTTTGAGCCCCAGCTGTTGTGGGCTGTAAAAACAGTCAATGCACACAGAATTACTACTTTTAAGACCCTGCCAAATAATGTACCATCAGTAAAAATCCAAAGTTTTCTTGAGTACCTTGGCTGCTGGACACCTGCTGTGCAGGAGGTGTGATGTAGAGCTGTTCAGTTACAGGTGATCACAGGAGGCAGAATCCTTGTTTATCTTCCCCAACAGAACAGATGTGACTTACAATCAGACTTTGGCTAAATGATTAGGAAAGAGCATTTTTGCCAGATCAAATGAATGCCCATGGAAACTAACCGTGGCAGACATTAATTCAGTTAAACATTTGAACTAATCCTCTCTGAAATTCTTTTGGTACTTTTTATTCAGCTTTAATTGTTTCATGAACACACAACAGTTTAAACAGGGCCTTAGAACCTATGTCAAGCCCATACAGTTCATTTGATACAATTTAATTTGACCACTTGAGAGGCATAAACATTCTTAGCATGTAAATTAAAGGCGTCTCTGGAAGGCATTCAGCTTTTTACTAAATGTTGTTAAGAAGTAGACAGAAGCCAAACAGAGGACTGTTGTACAGAGTCAGTAATCTGATATTCTGCTATCATAACCATGAAGCTCTTTTTCACAGTAAAAACACCTAAGACTTGAGATTCCAGGATGAGGTGATTTTTTAAATATGAAAGAGTAGATGCTTTGTTCTTCCATAATTGGCAGGAAAGAAGTCTTGCTGAAGTTTGCGAAAGTTTCACTTACGCAAGATTTGGAGTTATACTGCTCCCTTACAGGACACAACCTTGTAAATTATTGTTCCCAATGTTACTAAAAACTGTGGGGTAGTGTAAGGTTAGCAAGTACAGAGCAAACTGTTTGATTTTCTGTGTCTTCTCTGGAGACAGGAGAAATCAGTGGATAAAAAAAATATAGAAGATATTCTCTTAGCTCAAGTAGGAACATTTTAACTCTACACCAAGATGAAGGCTCAAATTTTCATTAAGTTAAATTGAACAAAAAGGCTTCAAAGACTTGTCTGCATCTGTATTGTTCCGGAAATAAAGATAATCCTATGACTTCCCAGCAAAGTTTGCTGTAATGAAAGTGTGGGCATGCACAGCTCAGGGAAAAACCTTGTGCACGCACTAGGAGGTACAGAGCAGCCTTTGCAAGGATAGCAATGCCTTCAGGTTCCTGATTTCCTCTTGGTCTGTCCCTGCTAACCAGCATAGCTGGAGAGATACATCTGCTTCTGAAAATCCCAAGCACCTGCAAAGCAGAGTTGCCAAAAAGGATTGACACCTATAAGGTATAAAGGCCACTGTGGGCCAGCCTCACAGGAGTTCTGGATCTGCTCAGGAGAAGCAGCTTGGAGGGTGAACAAAATGCAGTTTGTACATTTGGCCTCTGGTAGGTTTGGGTATGGGAGAAGTGAGACACATGTAGGGGTGCTTCAGCCTCAGGCAAAGTGATTAGTGAGGGTATCTAGGGGCAATTAGACTTCTGGTTTAAATGCTCAGCACGGGCTGAAAGACAGGATGAATCTTGTTTCCAGAGTTCACAAAAATACCTAGGTAAGCCAGTGGTTACCACTTTGATTTATTATGCAAAGACAAAGAGAAAGGGGAAAACCAGGAAATAATAATAATCTGCCTTCTGAGCTGCTTTAAGTAAAAGTGAAACGACATTTGTCAGTCAGACATTTGGAGAGCAAACTCAGCACAATGTTGAAAACTGGGAGTTGAAAAATTTGGGAAATTGTGTCCATCAATTTAGCTGCTGTTCTCTTCTTAAGAACCTTTTCTTGCCTGCTTTGGAGCAATTTGTGACTTATATTTTGCTACCAATAAACACCAAATGAGTGGTAGCAGCACAGTTTGTCCACAGAAATGGCTGTGGATATGCTCCAAAATGGTCCAGACTTCCTAGAAGCTTATCTAAACAAACAACTATATCTTGATGTAGCTTCTCACCCCCAGATTAGGGTCTCCATTTTCTACCCAGACATAGTCTATTTTTCTGTAGGTCTGGATGGGTGGATTTCTATCCCTGAGTAGGGGAAAGATGAAGGGGAATGTGCACTTATCTACTTTGGCCAAGGGAAGAGCAGGAGTGGTGTCCTTCAAGGATAGGTACAGGGTGGATTGCATAGAGAGATGGAGCTCAGGGAGCTGCAGAATACAGGAAGGCTGACTTTGAGGGTCTGGGACAGCCAAGGTTAGAGGGGCAGGTGGAAAGAGTAGGAAGTGAATGGAAGAACAAAGTTACAGTGGTTTGGGAGGCAGTGATACAGCAGAGGCAGGATGGAGCACACTCTGAGATAAATGCTGAAGACACGTTAGAAAGGGTCGGTGGGGCTGAGAACAGCAGGTCAGGAATTTACAGGCTGGGACTGGAGGATAAGGGAGAGAAAAAACAAAATGGTCTGGTGTCTCAGAGGGAACAGGCCAAGGACAAAGAAATCACAGGGTAGCTCTCTCCTTCCCCACCTTTAATAGGAATTATTTTTATGAGAATGACGTGATTGTATAGGATCTCTTTACCCACTGCAAACCCATGAGAAAATCTGCCCACTACAGTCTCTTTTTACTTTGACCCTTGTGTGTTAATTTAATTACTTTTAATTAAAGTATTTTAATTTTCAAAGGGCTTTTAGGAGAGCAGTACTACCAGTGACCTATGGGAACAAGAAGACTATCTGGAGGTATTTATCAGTCCAAGGTAGGCCTGCTCTACAGACACCTCTGAGACTGCAGGGAACATATAGTGCTTGCTGCTGCTAATTGCAAACTCACTCAGCAGCAAAAGCACAGAGCTCAGTTCAGGCTGCAAAAACTCAAATGAGAGCTTGAGCAACCGGAACACCTTGCAGCACGGGGGTCTCATTCTTTGGACAGGGACTTTTAATGCTGTTTCAGATCCCTGGGGGTACCCAAGAGGTCTGATCAGCCTGACAAATACCACAGAGGTCTTAAATGCAACATATCCCTTTGGAAGAAAGAGGTGAAAGACATACAGGACATGTTTTGGCATATCAGATAGCACTAGATGCCTCTGCATGAGTAAGCTGTGCTTGTATTTTCTATAACATTCCATTCTCTACTGCTAAAGAAGAGAAGGCAAGGGCCACTACCAAGGCAAAGCAGCACAAACTGACTCCTGCCCCTTCTTTAGGGCTTGTGCTCTCCTGTCTAGGCTGCTTGGTCTAAGATCTCATCTGAACAACATGTAGTTTTCCTGTGATTCTGAGAGAAAAATGCTTCTTTCTGTTTGTTGTCTTTTCCAGTGGGAAGCGTGTGAAATACCCTGACAGCTGTGCCTCACTCACCTAAGGGATGTTTTTCCAGAATGCTCACAAAGACACATCACAGCCTGGGGGTATGCTATTAGAGCGTGAGTGTGAGGACACAAAGCCTCTTGGGCATGGTGGAGGACTGTTTTGCGTAGAGGGAGCCAAACCTGGAGCATTCAGACCTATCCTGCATTTGGGAGAGCTCCATGAGATTTCTTTTCAGAGCAATAAGTATTTGGGATCAGCATGTGCATGACCTTTGGTCAGCTGATACAGACCACTGCTAACATCTGATGACATTTCAGGTCTGAAATGAATCACTGCCATTGCTGTCCAGTTTTCTTACTGCAGTCAGTCCCACTGAACAAAAACACTCGGTTGTTTGGCTAATCGGGTAGCAAAAAAATAGAAAAGAAAAGCAAAAGTGGTTGCTTAAGAACCACTGCTTTTTGAGGGCTTGGGATTTCCATTGCTTTTGCTGGTCAGCAAAAGCTGCCGAGCAGAGCCAGCCGGCTGTGCCCCCCTGTGCTGTGCTGTGGGTTTGGGTTGGAGCGTGTTTCCTCACATCCATAACCCGGCCGTGAGAACGAGTTGCTCTGCCCTGCAAACCCCGCCCAGCCCGCCTCCCCGAGCTGCATGTAGCTCTTGGCCTGCTCTCATTTTGGCACCACTTCCACTGCAGCCCTCAATTTAATGCAATTATTAAATCTAAGATGAATACTCTGTAGAATACTGCCATCAAATCCTGGGCTGCAGGTTGGGGTCTCAAGAGATGGTGTTGCCAGTCCTCATGCCCAGAGAGTCAAACATACCCCATTCTACCCAAAATTATGTTTATCCAACTTGCTCCCAAAGCCTCCAGCCTCAGAAGGAGCCCTGGTAGCTACCTGTAAGTGCCAGACCCACAGCAATGGCACAGGGAGCCACAGTGTTCCCTGTGCTCACAAGCTGCTGCTCTGGGAATCAGGAGGACTAGGCATTGCTTCCCAGTGCACTTCATGATCCAGCACCTGGTGACCCTTACAGACTACTCAAACTTAGGAAAGAAGAAATGATAACATTGACTTTACCATGACAAACCACTAGTATGAAAAGCATTTTTCATAAAGATCTACAGACTAAAAAATTCCTATTACCAGCATCTAACAGTGTTAACAATTTTAAATAGTCACTATTATTAAACTCACATAATAACTAATTTAAATGTCCTTGGAATACAAAGCCTCATATAACTAATTTTTAATGGAAGGGAAATTTTAGGGGACTGGTCCCCTTTCTCTGACTTCCTTAAGATTTTGGCTGCAAGTTGCTGGATGGCAAGGGAGGCAAATTTCTGCTCTTTGGTGTATTGTTTTTACTCCATCTCTAAAGGACTTCAGCAGGAAAGCAAATGATTCTTTCTCATAATCAGCTTACTTAATTCCCTGTCTGATGGACAGTCTGTAGCCAGCTGTCTCCAAGTAAGAACCAATGAGCATGGTGAGAGCACAGGGTCATCATACACACACTCCTTTGCCTTTCTGACCGGGAATTTTTTCATGGTCCTGGGGATCTTCAAGGTGTTTTTAGAAAGAAGGCTTCAAATGCATCCCTGACTCCTTCTTTTTCAGAGAAAGCCACAATTACATGGGCAGAGAGTATATAGTGAAGGTTTTTGACTGCCAGGCAAATGGAGAGAAGATCTGCAGGAACACTTTTGTTTGTGTAGCTTGGGTTATTTAATCTGGAGTGTCCTTTAACTCAACTGCCCTGTCCTCCTCTCCACCAGTGTGCACAGAAGAATGGGGCTCTGGGGGGACTTCCACTTCCCCCACACAAGAATTTTGCCTCTGACATGTATGAGGAGTAGGAACAGGACTGCAGCAATAAATAAATACCAAAGTGATTAAAAACAAATGTGTGAAACATTATTAATGATACACTGGAGAGAATGGAAGTGTACTATGCCAGAAACACCATCAGGAACAGAACAGATATCAAGGGCTACACAGTCTGATGTTAAAACAGCTGAAGGGGACAAAGCAGTGATTTACTGTGCAACATCTGAGCCTGCAGCTGGCTGGTTCAGGGTTGATTAGGAGTTGCTTTTAGAAATAGCAGATCAGGTCAGACTTGGGTCTGTGCAGGTAACATACCTCTGTCAACAGGATCTGCCATTTTTGCCTTGTTCTCAATATTCAGCATGCCCCCTGCCCTTCTTCCATCATGTTTTCTATCCTCACAGCTCTTGGAGAAGTTTTGACAATTTTCAGGCCATATGTCCTTGCTTTGAAAGCGTTTCTGGATAGACAGCTGGATTGTCTGGGTGCCCAGCAAAGCCCTCTATTGTGCAAGAGTTTGGTGATACAGGGGGCTCTCCTTTCTATAATTTTTCCCATTTTTCCACTGATATATTTGAAGTGCAACCACCACATATGCAGTGCTTTACTCCAGTAAGTAATTATGTGACAGCTCCTGTTCTGAGCACTCATGCAGCCACGTGCAGACAGAGAAGGAAAAAATTCATTTGCATACAGAGCAAATATTTTGTCATCACCTGCTGTTCATCCTAATGAGATTTTGCCAGACTCATTAGAATGATTCCACGCTTCTTAATACCCACTGGGATTGCTTTATTATTTGATGGAGTCAACAGTTGGGATATGCCACAGTGTCTCTGCATTCAGGTCTCTTGAAACCTGTGAAGGCAGCTAAACAAAGGCAGTGAATAACAAGTTTTGTTTCCTTCTTTCTCCCAAGATGTCTTAACGCTGACACCAGTGACTCATGAGCACCACAGTTAAAGGGATCTCTTTATCAGCCCACACCCACTGGCTTCTGGAGACAGTAGGCATCTTTTCACTGGGGATTGTCTTCTCTCTGCACGGCTGAAAGCAAGGACCCTGACTCCTCCCTGCAGAGGACTCATGAGGATTTCTGGTTTTCTATTTCCCCTGTTGGTTTCAAAAATATTTTTTCAAGAATCATGGGTGGTGTTTTTTTCTCTCCTCTTACTCTATCACAAAACTACATAAACAACAGGAAGGAGACCTATTAAGAAATTACAGAAGATTTGGGCATGGCCCAAATCCACATGATCCTTTTTGTGTGTAAGCTTTCCATACAAGTTGGGGATCATGGATTAGCTCACTTGGTTAGAACTGTGCTATTAGAACATAGTGCTAATAATGCCAAGATTAAGGGTTCAGTCCCTGTATCAGACCACTCACTTAGGACCTGGACTCGATGATCCTTGTAAATCCTTTCCAACTCGGAATATGAAATTAGCATACTAGGAATTGCAATAAAAACAACCCAAAAGATAGAGATTAATGCTTTTTCTCTATTCTCACAACTGCAACCTGAGGTGTTCCAATGGGATTAGTGGGGTATAATTGGTTTGAGTGTTACTTATCGTGGAGTAAAAACCAAAAATCCTGAAGTGTGATATTGAAATTGACAGTGTCACTTTAACAAATTCACTCGAGATGATTTTTGCTTTGGGAGTCTCCCTTTACAAACAGAGCTTGCCAGGAGCCAGAGTAAACACTATGATAATCTTAGATCAGCCTTTAATTTTCCTACTTCCTTTCCCTTCCCCTTTCCTTTCTATTTCCTTCTAAGACAGCAATATTATAGACAATTTAAATCAGACATGTCCATAGCTGAACGACAAAATCACCAACTGAGGACAATGAGAATAACAATAAACTCAACATAGTAATTATTTTCCCATCACACAAGCAATTACAAAAGTCAAGAAAGAACAACTGAGTGCTCTTAACCTGATATTGATAATTTAATTTTCTCAAGCCATGTAATATTAAGCAGGCTAATGCTCCTACAGGGAACCCTGGCAACAATTAAGCATAGCTATGAAAAAGCCAGACTCATTGCAGGCTTGAGCAAGGGGGATCACTCACTGTTTGTGCCCATGGTAGTAATTATGAGCAATGTAAATAGTGAAATGAAAGGCAGATTAATACTTGGGCACAAGTTCAGCATTTCAGAGAGGGCTGTATCTGGCCAGGTTTGTGTCAACGTGGCACACTCTGTTTCCCTGGCATTCCCCTTTGGTCAGTGGTTGCCACAGGCTGGCTGGAGGTGTAGCTCGTGTCTACAAGGTGAGGAGAGAGCTTGGCAAGAGGCTGGCTCGTGAGCATTGTGACGCACGAGCTCCACATTCACGCTGTGTGCTGAGGCACCATCACAGCCTAACACAGGAGGAGCCAAGTTGGAGCTTTTTGCTCTTGGGCTGGCTCTAAATTTGAATCATCTGTTGTTCATTCCACAGAGCGTGAGCCTCTCTTTAGACTTTGAAGTCTGCTTGCCAAAACAGAGGTTCTGGTTGTCTTGAACATCCTACCTAGCATCTAACTGCTTCTCCTAGATACTATTAATAGTTCCAAATCATGTTTGCCAGCCTGTGTGAATACTTCTAATATGAGAGAATACCTCAAAAGAAAATTGATACCTGTGTTGATGCGACTGGGTTGCACCCCAGCATTTGGTTCCATGTGCAGCTTTCAGAAGCTGCTGACTGCTCTGTCTGGGTTTCAGCTGGCCACACTGGGGCTCAGGCACCCAGCTCATCTGGAGACACCGAGGGTGTGCTGTGTGTTCTGAAACCCTGGAGCTGTCCTGCAGTGGAGTGGTTGGCCTCTGGCTGCCTCTCCAGGCAGACATGTGCCTCCTGTAGGTGCTGTGCCATGGCTGCCAGACCAGCCTGAGCACCTCAGCTGTCTCACAGCATCTCAGGTGGCTCATGGGGCTGCGTGTTGGCAGCTTAACTGAGCTCATGGAGTTCCTATCAACTGCTTCCAAACAAGGAGACCTTCCAGTGCTGCCCTCGAGATTTAAACCATGAGCAAAGGAAAAGTCTGCTTATAAGAGCAAACTCAGAATTGTGCTTAATTTTGAGCACAAAAAACCCCACAAGGAGTCACCATGGGAGGAGAAAGAATGGTGACCAGACACTGTGGGGTGAGGTTTTCTTCCCCATGCTTTCATGGTGGGTGCAGTAGCAGTTCCTCAGAAGCATTCTTTCTGTAAGAATCCTGTCAGATACAGAGGAAACACCAAATTGTAACCATATGTGGGGGCCCTG